GGTGCGGCGTCCCAACCCCCCCCTCCCCCCACACAGGCCCTGCTCTGTGTGTGACAAGGTAGAGCCATAACCTCCCCATCGGCCCTGCCCAGAGTGTGAGAGTGGTGGTGCCCCAACCCCCTGATCGGCCCTGCTCTGTGGGTGATAGAGGGCGGCGCCCCAACCCCCTGATCCGCCCTGCTGTGTGTATGACAAGGGGCGGTGCCCTAACTCCCCTATCGGCCCTACTCTGTGCGTGACAGGGGGAGCTCCCCAACCCCCTGATGGGCCCTGCTCTGTGAGTGACAGGGGGGAGCTCTCCAACCCCCTGATGGGCCCTGCTCTCTGCGTGACAGGGGGGAGCTCTCCAACTCCCTGATGGGCCTTGCTCTGTGCGTGACAGGGGGCAGTGCCCCAACCCCCTGATTGGCCCTGCTCTGTGCATCACAGGGGGTGGCATCGCAACCTCCCAATCCACCCTGCTCTGTGCATGACAGGGGGCGGCGCCTCAACTCCCCAATCAGCCCTGCTCTAAGCCCGACCAGGGGCTGCACCTAGGGATTGGGCCTGCCCTCTGCCACCCAGGAGCAGGCCTAAACCAGCAGGTCGTTATCTCCCGAGGGGTCCCAGACTGTGAGAGGGCACAGGCCGGGCTGAGGGACCCCCCCCTTCCCTCCCGAGTGCACAAATTTTTGTGCACCGGGCCTCTAGTAATAAGGATATGGAACATGGGAAGACCCAGGAAAGGGATTCATTAGGTGGGGGACCCAACACAGCCTTGAAGAATTAGGAAGGAGATTGGTTAAGTGTGAAAGTTTTCCCCTTCCCCTAACCAAAGAAATAGAATGAAAGCTTAACAAGGCCTGGGGATTCTTCATTTGCTCACTGTCTCTCATTAGCAGCTATGTGGTCCTAGCTAAGCACAGGCCCAAGCTCTGCCTGTTGTGGCCCAGGAGCCATTGGATCTTGGCAGCAGATGTGCAGTTGGGAAAATGAGACATAGAAAAGTGTTGCATCTCTGGGTCTTAGCCTTCTTGAGCCTGACAGGCCTGGGTGCAGGTCTGAGGAGGAGAGGTTAGACTTGTTCTGCAGCAAGATGGAACTGAGCCACCTGGCTGCGGATCAGACATCAGGCACCTGGGGGTGGGGAGCAGTCCTTTGTTTTAGCTCCAATAAATCTTACAACTATGCCTCAAGCCCTTCTATGCCTAGGTCCCCAAAATTCATTTCTAGGGAATCTGTGGAAAAATCGTATTTCCACCAGCAACAGTGGTTTCCTGCATCATTAAAATAAATTCAGCAATCTGTATTAAGCAGAAACCATGCAGATTTAACTTTTTTTGTTGTGCTCTCCCCATAGACAGCAGTTTATATTTTTCTTATGCAAATGTGAGAAAAATCTGCAAGTAATTCACAACCCCACTCCCACACTACCACTGTCAAAAAGAAAATTTTATTGTAACATATGAAGAAGTGGGATCAGTAGGTGATCACTTATAGGAGGATTTTATTGAAAGGAAACACTATTCTTTTGAACAGGTGAAGCAAACTTGCATGTATAGGATGTGTATGGGCATGATATAGAGTAAGAATATGAGTCTTGAGCAGTAAGTTGAGTTTCTACTGTAATGAATCTTAAACATCACAAAGAAACATTTGCACCTAAATTGCTACACAAACCTGAGCCACTGAAAGTTACTGAATTTTGCCTTATTCATGCAGATTAATGAAACAACAGTACCTGTGAAGCAGGAATTGTGGGGGAACATAGTCAGGCTTAGGGATTTTTTAGAATTGGGGTCCATGGAAAAACTCAGGGCTGCAGACTGAGAGAAGGTACATGTTCATAACACAAGGAAGCCAGGTGCAGTTACATCTCCATAAGACAAGGCAGCAGCAACAGTTGCATTCACATAAGACAAGGGAACTGGAAGTAGCCAGGAAAGGTCTATATTTTCAAAATAAAGAGAAGGAAGCCCTTCATTCAGATGGAAAAGAAGAAAGCCCAGAGGAATGGAAGGACTATGAGGAAGGAGGGCCTTAGGAATCACTATAGTAACCAATTTGAAGGGGAATATTGACCAATCAGAGGGGATATCGGGACACAGGAACTGCAGCCTATATAAGCCTTAGAAAAAGGAACTCAATGGAACCCTTTTCCCCTTCCCTACTTGGGAGTCCATTCTGTGGGACTCTTCCCTCTCCTTATGTGGGAGTCTATACTTGTTCTTCAATAAATCTCCATCTTTGCTATATCACTTTCTGTCCGTGGATTCATTCTTCCATTCTGGCGGACAAAGTGAAGTATGGTACCTATTTGCTTTGTTTAACAATGGACAGGTTATTTTGATTTTCTGAATTGTATAAATCATCCCCTTCGATTGAATGACTATCCCATTGATTGTTATCTTATTGGTTATTGAAGCACATTCTTCTGTACCTGGGAAACAGGACAGCACAATTATCCTAAATTGTCTCAGTGGCCACAGATAATGCGTTGCAGTTGACTTAGTGGTCCCAAGACCAGGACAGCACAATTACCTAAATTACCTCGATGGCTCTAGATAATGAGTTTCTGGCAACCCAGTGGTCTCAAGACCCGAGGGCTCTAAAAGGTGTTTCTGTCAATTCAGTGACCCCGAGACCCAAAATTGTAATTAACATGCTTAATGCTGCTTCTGTAAACTGCTTTTTTGCAAACCAGGCTCCTCATTCCAAACCTTGAGATGTAATTAATACCTTTGTGATCTTTGCCTATATAAGTCTGGTTTTGCCACCATCTTATTGCTATGAGATTTTGGGAATGGCCCCTCATAGTCCCAGATTGCAATAAATGTGACTCTTTAATTCGACTTCTTGAGACGCCCTTCTGTGATTCACGGGATACATTACAACAAAAGAGTCCAGGTTCCAGTCCAAAAATTTGGTATCAACTGGTTTGGATCAAATAAGGAATAGAGTAAAAGTAGGGTAGTCACCAAAAAGGTTATTAACATAGATTTTCAAATAAACAAAGATTTTTAAGAGAGTTGCAACAGAAGTGGAATTGAAAGTTTTCAACAGAAGACATGGATGAAGGAAGAAGAATCTAAAAAGATACTGAATATCTTTTCAATGCAAAAAAGGAACAACTCAGATCTCATTTTTAGAACAGATACGTGATTAATCCTGCATTAAGTCATAGTTTGCCCAGATTACTAGCATCATCAGTATTGAAATAACGGTCATCAGCCCAATTAGATTCTGGACTCCTGCCCTTGCATCTCTGCCCCAAATCTGGGCTAGGACACCTGCTGCCTTATCTTTTTTGATGCCTACGGTCTGTGAGTCCTTGTTCTGGTTTGGGTTTCAGTACTCCCTGCTCTGAAGCTGCCTGCTGGATGGCGCTGCCTGCTAGAATCCATCTGACTGTCAGGTATGTCCTGCACCCCCCTGACTTAACACTGTATGCCATAGAGTATGTACTCTATGCTGGATTCCTCTCATCTCTTGCTCCCAATGTAGCTAGTGTGTTTGATATCCCCTTCCTGGATATTTATATACTGTCTTTCCATCAGAACTACCATGCTTTATATTGCTATATTTCTAACCTTAGATATTACTGAAACATAAGGAATAAAGTGACAGAAGAGTGTAGAAGCAAAAGGCGTTAAAAATGACTCTAAGATTCTATTTTTTTGTTACTGGATGAAACACATACTAGAAGTTGGAGGTCAAAAGAAAGACCTGGTTTTACAGAGTTTTATAAAAAAAGGATTTTAAAATAAAATATAAGTAATATTAATATACTTTGGCTTGATTTTGTATGAATTTGTGTATTGTTCACTAAATTGATTAAAGCAAGGGTACCTTTATAGTACCACTTTTTTTCAATGTAATTATTCTGATTAAATTACTATTTATTGAATCAGAGGCCCGCATTTCCAAAATAATCTAGTTCCTTTCAATATACAATAAATAATTGATATACCAATCAGTGCTTCCTATTTGTATATATAGGTGATTATTTTAATGAATTGATTTTAGGGAAATCATGGTTCAAGAAAGTTCAATTCACTGTGCTTTATTGAAATTCTATCATCATAATGCAGGAGCCTTAAATGATACATTTGAAGGCTTCCTGTGCAACAGTAATTTGATTTTTAGTGAAGTAGATGTAAATGACTGGAGCAATACACTAATTCTGAATACCGCACATAAAAGTTTTCAAAAAAAGATATTAAAATGTCTTTCTATTATAATGGGAAGTCTAAATTGAAAAAAGGCTCTAATCATTTCAGTGAATCCTCACAGCTGACCACAATAAAATATCTTAAATCCTGACATTTTAGTCTGATAAATATTTGCTAAGTTTATTCAAAGCCGAGATATAAAACAATAACTGGATTTTTTCTGCTATTATAGTGTTTCAGTCCTCTTCCAGCTTCCTGTATTCAGAGACCATGCTTAAGCAGCCTCAAATTCAGATAACTCTATTTTCTTCTAAAGCATAATGCCTGACAGAATAATCAGTTTGCACACGGTTTTCTTAGGCAATGTAAAATATACCAAAAATGATCATATTAGTTATATCAGGCACTCTGTCAATTGCTATTTTTGCATCTTACAGACAGGTTTTTGTGACATTTTTATTTTACACTGTGATTCCAAATCGACTCTGCCTAAGTCCTCTATCTAATATATTTGTCTAAGGTGCAAGCAAACTAAAGAACATTTACATGTCATCTTAGTACAGATAATTGCTAAATAATTGCACGGGTAATTTTAAGAACAATTTAAAAACAATACCAGAAAAGGTAAGTTGCACGTTGACATACAGAGAAACATACAGAATGGTTAGTATATATTTGCAATAGCTGGTCAAAGTCTAGACTCTAGACTCTAGAGCCAGAATTAAAAAGGCTTAGAAGACTTGTGCCTCATTGCAATGCAAATCTTAGAATATTATTAAATAGCGCTTAACCTCTTTTTTTTTTTTTTACTGTTAATTTTTATTCAAATTCATCATATCAGAGATTAGTGCTTGCTGGCTGGTGGCTTTCAGCACTCCCACTCCCATAAATACTTTGCACTTTGCCACTGCAGGTCCCTAGCACAACCCACGGGGCCCTTAAAAGTCATCATCATCACAGATGTCAAGGTACACATCGAAAGCCTCTCTGTTGCAGTTTCCATCAGGAGTGAAGACATATTTGTGGAAGGTCCCATCTACACAGATGGCGATGACAGAGTTGACATTCTTGGAAGTGTTGCGACCGAAGGCGCAGATGCAGGCCGTCTCAGCAGGCACTGTGAAACTCGCCAGGCTCCACTGAGAGTCCACGTATTGTCCAAACATAGCCCCGACTTTGCCCACTGCAGCTAGCACAGAGCGGCGGTTGAGGCAGGTATCCTTGAGGGCAAAGATATGGACCGTGCCCTTATCACTGGAAACGCACAGGAAGGAAGAGTCATGGCTGAAGTTGATGCAGTAGAGGGTGGCAGGATCAATGCCTCGGCGTAGTTCCACCAGTTTTTCCTTGGACTGTGTGTCAAAAAGGCGAATAAGGGTGCCCTTCTGGGAGGCCGAGGCCACTACGGTGCCTGGCTGGTTCAGGGACACACAGGCCACGTCGCTCTGATGTGCGTTGATGGTAAATGGCGCAGATGAAGTGCCTGGCTTTGTGCGTGCCAGGTCCACAAGTTGCAGACTCCCGCACTTGTGTCCTGGGAACACTAGCAGCTGTTTCTCCAGGCTGGGGCAGAGGTCACAGAGCCCCTTTGGGTTGTCCCGGGTGTCGCACTCAAACAGCTTCCGGGGATTGTTAGGGAAGGAGTACACATAGATGCGGTTCCTCAGCACAATCACAATTTTGTCATGGCGCATGCGCACAGCCAACACTGCCTTGGTGAAGGTGAACTCCAGCACCAGCTTGTCCTTGGAGTCCTTGCCGTCCCGGGCATCATCCCAGATCAGCACTGAGATCTCTGAGAACTTGGGACTGCTACCACCACCCACCAGGGCCAGCAGGTTGGAGCGGTACAGCATTTCCACCAGGCCCACGCTGCCCACCTGCTTATGGTCCAGGTGCCCCTTCTCCATCAATGGTTCCACGTTGTAGATGTGTACACCTGTCTCCATGGCACAGCAAAAGCAGCTTTGGTCTTGGTTGAAACGCAGGCTGGTCACCCTTCGAAGTGGTTGCTGAGTCATGATTCAGGATTGCTTCCCTTACTTGATATTGGGGTCCAATCCCAGCAGGTCCAGGGGTCCCCGAAGGTGTGGATGGAGTCGGCGAAGAAGGAATGACACAGAGACAGCCTTCAGTTGATCAGCAGCCTAGCCAGGATCTCCAGCCAGGAACTCCAGCGAAGTTCTTTCTAGGGTCCCCAACCAAGTTCTGGCCAAGTTCTGGTGTTTATTGTCTTGTTACATCTCTATTTATACCAGTTGATTTTAATCCTGTCAATTTCTATTGCAAAGGTTAGGGCGTTTCTTATCTCCATTCCAGGGAGTAAAGATTATGTAGCTTAAGCATGATTGTTTGTAGTTAAAGTGATTAACTACCCGCCCGGCACTTAGTTAAGGGGTTTTATCCCCTCCCTAACTTCAGGGGAAAATCCCCACCTGGGGAAACAACCTTTCTCGGAGAGGTGACCTTGGTTAAAACACATAGCGCTAAGGGGAGCAAACATATTAAGAACAGTATGCTATATACGCCAGGTCCCTTGAAACATATGGTGTGCAGATGTTTCTTTCCTGCAGCGACTGTGTCAAGCAGCAAGGATGGACCGGCTTCCAGCAACTTGATTCTTCAGCAGCATCTCTCTCCCTGGACACGCTCTCCACTCAGCGTCCGTGCTGCCACTCTCTAAAGCACCTGACTGTTCACCACTGGCTCTCTCTTCAATGTACTGGTTATTTTTGTTATGACAATGACAATGACTTCCAGAGTTATCTTTGTAAATGACAAGGCTCCTCCTGTGATGCCCCTGCTCAGTGCTTACAAGATAAACCGCAAACACCTGTAGGATGAGTTGTTTGATGTCTGCCTGCTCCACTAGACAGAGAGCTCCAGGATACCAGGAATTAGACCAAAATGGATCTAAGAGGATCACATGGGTGACAGCGGCTCCGGGGAGGCGGCCGCGGGAGGGAGCACGCAGCCCCGGCCCAACAGGACAATGGCTTGGAACTCGGCCTCCGGTGGGGCGGCAGGGCGCTCGGCCGCTGAAGCCCCAGCGCTTACCCTCTTAAAAATGTTTTCCTTACTTATTATTTTATATCATCAATATTTAGCATCTTCTATTCAATAGCAACACTTATTTAAATTTGAAAGTTTTTTCATGACATATGATCTAATAATTGAGAGACAGTGAGTGTGGTGTCGGAGTGGAAATGAACATTAACTGCCATGATTTCTCAGAGGTAGAAGAATATTCTATCGGAAGTTCTGAGTAAATTCTCACAGAGAAGGGACATATTTGAAATCAATATGTAACTTCATAGAAAGAGCTGTTTCTTTTGCTTCATTTATTTATTTATTTTTGTATAATCATAATGAGAATTAGATTGAGGTCTTGAAGGATGGAAGTGATTTTTCCTGTCAGAGGAAATATAAAGGACCATAAACACAGGAAAGTTATTTAAGATCTAGAGTCTGAAGATATAAAGCTGTTGGGAGGTCTTATGCTAAATTTGATTACAAGCAATACATTTTCACCTGTGCACTAAAAATTATTCACATTACCTTTCTTTGAAGATAAGTTTTTCCAATAAAAGTGTATCCAACTGCCCTAGCTGGTTTTGCTCAGCAGATAGAGCATCAGCCTGTGGACTGAAGGGTCCCGCGTTTGATTCCAATCAAGGGCACATGTCCGAGTTGTAGGCTCAGTCCTCAGTAGGGGGCATGCAGGAGGCAGCCAATCCATGATTCCCTCTCATCATTGATGTTTCTATTATTCTCCCTCTCCCTTTCTAATATATATATATAAATGTATCTAACTAATAAAAGCCATCACAAAGGATCAAAATAGTTCTTCTGAAATTGTTGTCTAGTTCAGAAAAGACTTTTAGACAATTATGCTTCCAAAAACACTGCCAATTGACAAAGATGAGGTATCATCCAGCCCAGTTTCCTGATACAAGGCAGTTTAAAAAATAACTTTTCACATTACCTTTTAATAGCTTGAAGTACTACTAAGCAACTCAGTAAGAAATTCAGTAAAGGTAATGTAAACTAGAACCATACAAAATGGAACATTTGCTATTTTCTGACATAGATATACACATCTCTACTTAGAAAAGTGTTTTTATTTTATTTTGTTTTATTTATATGAATCCTTACCCCAGGAATCAACTTACTCAAACTTCATTCTGTTTTGATCTTTTTAATTTATTGACAAGATCCTAGTGCATCTACTATAAGATTTTTACCCTTTTTTGACCCGAAACAATACAATTTCTCACCTAATGATCCAAAGTTTTGGGGGTACTGATAGAATTTGGTAATTCTACAGACCTACTCATCATATGGCTATATGATTCTTTAATAAAATAAATTTTTACTGTATCTTAAATACTTTCTGTTTAGCAATAGAAAACTGGTAAGAAAAACTTTGAAATTGTTGGTGTCATGTGATAGGAAAAAAATGCATGCAAGCTTGTGTATGTTTGTGTGAGTTTATGTGAAAAACCGCTTTTGTAAATCATTCTTTTTTACATTCTCAAATCTTCCTTCTCCATATTTTCCCATTCCCATTTTGCATGTTTATTTTATAAATGTTCTTGCCTAAAAACATGCTTCTTATCTTTTTTCAACTTGTTTCTTCACATTTAAATTTGGTGTAAAACAGAATAAGCAAGTTTGGTGATGGTTTCTCCTAGGGTTGTTTTACACAGATACACTATAATTTTAAGCAATATTAGGTACTTAAGAAAATTGATTGCCAAGAAAGAATTTGCTGATTTAGCAAACTTAAATTGATTGATGATTCCACAACTGATAGCATATTTCATATTGGAACCCCAAATAAGCTATGTAGCTCTAAATTTATATTCTTATAATTAAAAATAGAATCCTATATAGTTCAATCACTATAATATGGCTACCTATATGTAATTACTTTTTTTCAAATTTTCTACATTAATATTTAGAAGTGCCATAATTAAAAGGGTCCATAAGTGGTAATGTTGTATGGCCACCACATCACCACATGGGATAACTGAGTCCTACTAGAATTAATTGGTTTGCAAAATGTTAAAACATCTGTGCCCAGCCAGAGTGACTCAGTGATTGAGCATTGACCTATGAACCAGAAGGTCACAGTTAGATTCCCTTCAGGGCACATGCCTGAGTTGTGGGCTCGATCCCCAGTAGGGGGCATGCAGGAGGCAGCCAATCAATGATTCTCTTTCACTATTGATGTTTCTATCTCCCTCTCACTTCCTCTCTGAAATAAGTAAAAATATATTTTAAAAACAAACAAAAAAAACAAAACGGTTTTGCTCAGTGGTTGAAGCATTGCAGGTTTGATCCCCAGCCCAGTCAGGGCATGCACTTGTGGGAAGCAACCAATTGAAATGTCTCTCTCACATCAATGTTTCTCTCTACCCTCTTTTCCTCCTTTCCACTCTCTCTAAAAAGTAGAAATTTGATGGTCTGATCAATGCTTCTCAGAGGGAAGGTAGGAGAGGGCAGGGGTAAGGGGGAGAGATCAACCAAAGAATTTGTATGCATGCATATAAGCATAACTAATGGACACAGACATCAGGAGGGTGAGGGCATGAGCAGTGGTGGTGGTGGTGGTGGGGGTAATGGGGAGATAAGGACACAGATGTAATACCTTACTCAATAAAGAAAAATTTAAAAAATCAATAGGAAAAAACATCCTCGGGTGAGGATTTAAAACAATGTTAAAAAACTTTTTCATGCCATAACCTGTATTAGAACTCAGGTATCCCCATCATGAAACTAATGTTTTCTCACTATGTCAGTAAATGCAATTATGGCCACTCAACCACTTTATAACACATCAAATACCCAATGTACCAAAACAAGATTTTGAATAATTACTTAATGTGATTTGTAAATTATGAAATGATGTATAAAACTATAAGATAATAAATCAGTGTCTTTTAAGCAGCTAAGTTTGTGGTAATTTATATAGCTTCAATAGAAAACCAAACACTCCAATCATCACATGTCATTCAATTTAAAGAAAATTACACATATATCTTATTCACTTGTTTTGCATTCATTTAAAAATCATATTATATTTTTCAGATTAAGTTCCAAAAATTAGGTTGATATTTTGGGTTATTTATCCATCACATATACTTTCTTCAAAAAACAAAAACCCAAACTCCCTAATTTACTCAGATATATATCTCTTCCTCATGCAGATATGTGATAGGATAGAACTCCTAGCCACCAACTCCAGGGATAGTTCTTATTGGTGTAAAAGTAATTTAATTTCACTTCTAGTTTATATATTAGAAATATGCATGTTACCCAGTTGGGCTTCTTTAAAATCTTCCTTCAAGTTCACAGAAAAGATTTTCCCTTTTCCTGTCCTCAACATTATCATGTTTTCATATGATGTCTAAGAAATGCTAATATTCTAAGGATAAATTGAAGGACAATAATAGATGATAAAATATAAAAAAGACCTGAATTTAATAATGGTGGTAATGAAACAACCAACCTTGAATGTTGCTTCACTTTTGACTTCTTATATAGTTAATCAGTTCTGTTACTCTCTAAGCCATGTTGGATTCACATTCCTATTACTTGTAGTCTAAATATCTAACTAATGTCTAAAAATACCTTGTACTATGGCCCTAGATTCACCAATTACTAGATGTATTATTTTATTTGCAAAAACATTAACATTTTCTATGACTTATTTTGCACAAAGAATTATTTTGACAACTAACTGGTGTAATATAATATATACTAGAAGCCCAGTGCATGAAATTTGTACACAGGGGTGGGGGACATCCCTCAGCCTGCACCCTCTCACAATCCAGGACCCCTCAGGGGATGTCCGACTCCCTGCATGATTGGGCCTGAACCAGCAGTCGGACATCCTTCTCACAGTCCAGGACCACTGGCTCCTAACTGCTCACCTGCCTGCTTGCCTGATCTCCCCAAACCACTTGCCTGCCAGTCTGATCACCCCTAACCACTCGCCTGACTGCCTGATTGCCTTTAACTGCTCGCCTACCTGA